ATTAATTGGTCTGACCAATCAGCCAGCAACACCACGGCACAGGGGGCTTAGATGTGGTGTTGGCTATGGCGGCGACATGGCCGCTGTCAGGGTCATCCGTCAGGCTGTGCAACATCAGGGGAAACGACCAGGCAACTGCATTACCTCCAGCACGATGGACCGACGTAAAGCGAAAAGACGACATTACTCGCCTATCGACGTTTGTGTGTTTCCGACAATCCATCTCGTCGGTGGAGGTGGTGGAGATGACATTAACTGGTTGCGGTTGTGCAATTGTTGTCCATATTTGTACTGGCGTTAATTGCGTTAGGATTGCCGTTTACGTGCTTACCCAGCCTGTTGTTTTATTTAGCGCTTTTGCTTTATTGAGTGGTCCTATCGGGAAGACAGTATCAATAAGGCAGGCCTTTTTATGGAAGTGTGCATATACGGCTGGTAACGGGTGCTGGTGGGAATGTTTAATCAGGGTGGACCAGAAATTTGATCTCTCCCGACCCGATTTGTAAGCCTTACTGCAGAGCCCATCTTAGGAACTGAAAGTCGACCTAAATTGACGCACCGGGGTTGAGACAATAACAAATAACTGGGTCAGGGCAGCCACTGTAATACATATTCCACACAGTGAGGATAAGGGAAACGATTGGATTAGTGGGGAAGATGAGGAAGAAGAAGAAGGGAACAATCATGGACATCTAGATGGATGATTGGGAGTGATTCTTGCTGACAGTCTTCTCCGTCATTACCTTAGCTGGTGGTATTCACGTGGCGAGTGACAATTTGAATAGGACCACGCAGTAGTGCTTTCATTGGCTTATACAGGTGATCATATCGGAATAAGTGTACGGGTGGCCAAATCCATTCAGATGGAGGATTCGGTGACTGCAAAATCGACCCGAAGCCGAAGTTGGCAGAGACCGTGCACAAAGCTTTGGAATTCTCGTCGTCACTGATGGAACTTGAAAACAGCAGTTTGCCTGTTCGCAAGATGGCTCGGGCACTCACAGCTCAGACACAGAACACCCTAGGATCGACCTTGGAGCTGACTGAAGGCCTAGGCGAACCGGAATGTGGCAGGTTGAGTTCTCTCAATATGCTCCTTGGGACGTAGGAGAGACTTTGATGTTGCCCAAATCAACTAACCAGGCTATCAAGGGCCGAGAAATAACCTGAAAATGTAGGGTTTTCGTAGAAGATGATCCCGACTGAGCAAATCTGCCACTAATGACTTCTGGCCACAGAGGCGGTACCAAAGTTGGCGACCAGTGACTGAGGAGTGAGCGGATAACTATTTTCATAGTTGTTCTAAGGTCATAACTTGACCTTCGAGGCGTGTCAATTGTGATCGAAGCATAAAGGAGACCAAACGGTCCCATACACAAGGTATCGTTTTCACTTGTTCGTCGTCCTCATCTTGATGCACGACGACTACTACTACTACCACCACCACCAACAACAGTCCGACCATCGAATCCGACGATATCCACAATGTGCTCCACAGCAATGCAAAGTAGGCACGGTGACTTGCGCTTGATTTAGATTATAGTAAATGTAGAATTTCACAGCATCTACCGCACTCTCTCCTCTCCCCCTCCCCCCCCCCCCAACTGGACTCGGTGTCAAGACAGAGTCAAGAAGACCAGAGAGCGGCGGAGGGCGCAGGTGGATGGGACGGTCGAGTCCGTGCCCTGGCGCTCCACTCCACACGCCCTGGTCCACGCAGCAAATGACCAGGATGTTAACAAACAACTAAAAAAATGACTGGTACTGCGAAAGCCGCCCCTAGGCGTGGCGTCACAATTAGCTCGGGTCAGACGGACTGGGAGTGCATGAAAGCCACATGAGGGAGTAACCATTGCAGCCTGACTCTTCGACCACCAGTAGGCCGCTCCACACAAATACACGACTCTGGGACGACTGCGAGGTCCAAGTTATCCCATCAGTTGATTTTTCCAAGCATCGGCTTTTAACGCATCGTGATAGCTGAAAGTGCGTCCGATTGCTTATGGTGGGGGAAATGTGCTTATTCGTCGACCTCACTCTCCCTTCCCATTCCCAGGCCCAAGTAACTGTTCGAGCCGGTCAGTTGACAGGTGCGGGGAATGGACGCGGTGGCTGACATATCAAATGACCTTGTCTGCGCGCACTACATGCACAACCTGGCCCACAAACACAAGCAACAGGATTTCACACAACGGGGGTTGGGCGATGTACATCCCACATGTGTGAGAGTGCCATAGGTCACTCTAAGAAGGAGCTGTTTCAGCCTGGCTCTTGGCATACCACTCTGCCCTTACAAACAGACGCACACAACTGGGCAGGCTACGTGGGCTGAGTTGGGGCATCAGTCAGCGACCTTTCAAGCCACGATGCTGGACTCACCGTGATAGTCTTAAACTCGAATCACACATACAGTAGAGGAGCCGCATGGAGATGGAGTCGAGATGGAAGTACAGTTGGATGCTTGTGGTGGATGAAGATGTTGTGTGATGAAGGTGGGGGAAGATATGATGGTGTGGTGTAGCCGGTGGTTGTCTACCGCAGGTTTTCGTGAATGAGCACGTCTCCTAATAGGCCCATAGGATGGGTGAATGTGCGGAGGCAGTGTGGACAGTAGAGGCGGATGCGGCGAATGCGAGTTGGTGCTCGTAGATTTCAGCGCCGGTCTTCACTGTTCTCCACCAGGTTGGTCGGTCCCGGGCGAAGTCTTCCCAGTTGACTGGGTTGATTTGCAGGCGTCTCAGGAAAGTCCTCAGAGAATCATTATGGCGCCAGACTTGACCTCCTTGGTGGTGGGGACCCGGGGCGACATCTCTTTGCAAGAGTCGTCGTCCATGCGCAGGAGATGACAGCTCCAGGGCAATTGCAGTTGCCCCAGCATGGCGTAGATGCTGAGGATTCCGGTCCGTCCCAGTCCACCGTGTCGTGGACCCGGTCCTGCTGCCTTAGCTTCAGTATCCGCCGAGGACAGCTGAGGTGGAAGTGGTTGAGTCTTCGTGCCTGTTTCTCGTGCACCTTCCAAGTCTCCGCTCCATGCAGCAGAGTCGGCAGGATGACCGCTTTGTAGATCTTCCGTTTGGTGCTGATGTGAAGGTCGTGTTGATTCCAAGCTGTGTTTTGCAGATGACCGAAGGCTTGGCTGGCCTTGGAAATCCGGCGGGTCACTCTATCGCCCCTGAAGAGTTGTTGCGCGACCTGGATAGTTTGGTGTAGAGAGGACGAGAGGTCAAGGTCGGTGTTGGTCTCTACCTGAGGTAGACGGGCGATGGTGGCGTCGCAGGCGTTGGAGCGGCACTTACGGACGCCTTGGAAAAGCTCGGCCCATCGCCGCAGAATTTGTGTCTCCTCAGTGAGTAGGGTACTGCCGTCGGAGCTGAGAAGAGGAACGGTGCCCTTGGTTGTGTGACCGGAGGCATCCTTGATCGCAGTGCAGACGTTCTCCATTCGTTGCGGTCCCCGTATCCTTGGATCTCCTCGGCCCTGCGGGCCGTCCAGGCTTACTGAATCTCCCGCAGCCGCTTTTGCACAAAATAACGACTGCTGTAGAAGGTTACTTTATTTTCATCGGTAGAGCGATTAAAGTAGACTTTGTGCAGACGATTCTTCTACTGATGACGGCGTCCTTGTCGTCAAACCAGTCCTGATGTTGGGCGGTCGATTAGGCCGTGTCCATAAGTTGACACCAACGGTTCTCCGCAGAGGCGTTCTTTCGGCGGCGGCGGCGGCGACTGGATTGTTGGCTAGTTGTTGAGTTAATCACTGCCACAATGGAGATGATGAGCGGGCAAAGACAACAAAGCAATATCAAGCTTACCTGGGTGTCGTTTATCTCGAGGTCTCCTGTGTGGTTGTAGGCGAATCCTCATCTTATGGATGACTGGACGATGGTCGGTCCACCCGTCGGCATCCCGAATCGCCGTTGTAATTGGCACGTCGTGCTGGTCTGGCCTCTGGACGAGGACATAGTCCAGCAGGTGCCAATGTCGCGACTGAGGGTGCACCCAGGTGGACTTCTTTCGCATCGGGAGGCGGAAGTATGTGTTGGTCATGATGATTCGGTGTATTGCACACGTTTGTAGGAGGAGCAGGCCATTGCCATTGGAGTCGTCGAGACCATGAGGACCCAGCACTCATCTCCAGGCAGCATGATCTGTGCCGACGCGAATGCTGAAGTCACCAAGGACAGTCATCTTATCCGACTTCGACACAGACGCCAGAAGTGCGTTCACGTCCTCGAAGAATTCGTTCCCTGCAGTGTCAAGGCTGCTCATCGGGGAGCGTGGACACTGACGATGGTGGCGAATTAGCCTCCCGGAGAGGCAGGCGGAGGCTCATCAGACGATCGTTGATGCCCTGCGGCAGACAGGGCAGTCGTCCCACGATGTCGTTCCGGATAACAAAGGAGACGCCCGCACCCCGTCGTTCTGCCTTGGGGCGACCACTCCAGAAGAAGATGTAGCCGGCACCCACCACTTCCAGTTGGTCTTGTTCGGGTAGGTGGGTCTCGCTGGGTGCGGCAATGTTCACCTTGTAGCGCGCCGATTCCCGAGCAACTAGCACCGTCCTCCGTTCTGGTTGTTCGATCCTCGGATTGTCTAAACGGAACGAACATTCCGGGTTTTCAGAGTGATCGGGCTCACCCTACCAGCCTGTGGGGTGGGACGGAGGGGAGGGGGGGGGAGAAGGAGGAGGAGGAGGAGGAGGAGGAGGAAGAAGAGGAAGAGAGAGAGCTGTTTCTTGTCTGGCTGTTTCGACCGTATGTTTTGCGTCTGCGGCACATGGTCAGCCTGCAGACGACGTGAATCCCAGTGTCTGTTTAGGGCACCTTTTCCAGCTGCCTCCTCTCGCGGGGTGAGCAGTGCTCTCTCTAAATAAGGTTGCTAAGTCATCCCAGACGGCTGCCGAATTCCACTATAGGCCACGAATTTGGTTTAGTGGGAGAACGACTCGAGTTAGTCTGGGCCGCCTAGGAGATCGCTGGCACTCACGCCGTAGGGCTTGAAGGTAGAGTGGCAAGGGTAGAGAGACGCGATGCAGAGCTTTCCTGCCCCTTTTTAAGATAAGTGGTTGCTTAAATATAAACGGTGGGCAGAAAAATTTAACAGTACGGTATTCAACAGAACGGTATTTAGTTTACAACATCGATAAAAACAATCAAGCAAATAAAGGCACACAGGAAAGAACAAGCAAAAAGCAAAGATAACGGAGCAGTATTCGGCTTGCCTGTGGGGGGAGGGGCACTTAACTTCTGGCCTACAGTGTGGTTGCAGACGGAATTTAATCTTGAAGGTGGCGATGCGGTGATCCGTCCGGCCAGCGATGGTGGGGTTGGAGCCGAGTTACAGTGTGTGGAGATGCATACACGGATATCCTCAATTGGTTTACCCCGCCGGGCGAAGCGATTACGGTGTTGGGGCCCGTAGGCATAGTCTAGCTTAGGAAAGCCACATATGGGAGTTGGATGTCAGTAAATGGGCGCTAGGCGTAGCCTACACCTGCAAGCAAGTGAGCGAACTACTACGTCCGTCACGGGGACCCACAACTGGACGCCCTGCACCCCACCATCACCAACACCTACCATTATACTGTAGGCTGCCCGTACCGTCTAGACTCACGTCACATGCGCGTGAAAAGCGAACGGGCAATGCCACGGAAGCTTGTTCAGAATTCCTATCTCCTGATTGGCTACCCTTTGACGCATGATATATTCCTCATGCGATATACCGCATCGTGTCTCCTGAGTCTCTCCACTTGTGCTGTCTCAAATGCTTAAATGCACGTCTCGCCTATAACCAGTCTTCCCTGTTCCATACACAACAATGACAGCCGCCGCCGCCGCCGCCGCCGCCGCCGCCGCCGCCGCCGCCGCCGCCGCCGCCGCCGCCGCCGCCGCCACCACCACCACCACCACCACCACCACCACCACCACCACCACCACCACCACCACCACCACCGACAGTTCGACCATCGATTTCGATGATGTCCACCGTGTGCCCCACAGTTACTGCAGCAATGGGAGCAGGGACGGTGACATACGCAGGGGTTTATAGTGCCGGTAGACTTGCGTAGCATCTACCTACACTCTCTCCTCCTCCCTCGCCAAAGCCCGGTGTCAAGACAGAGTCAATAAGACCGGAGACGAGGGAGGCCGCAGGTTGATGGCTCGGACGGATCCTCACCTTGGCGTTCCACCACACCCCCTGGTCCACACAACAAATAACCAGGATTTCAACCAACACAACAGAGATTTGGAGGCTGGCACGGCCGAAGCCGCACCTAGGCGTACCGCCAACGCCTGGCTCGGATCCCACACTGTGGTAGGAGTGCCATAAAGGCCACATTAAAAAGGAGCCATTGCAGCCTGACTCTCAGACCGCCTCCAGTCAAGGAGGAGGTCCAAGGTACCCCGTCAGTTGGCAACATTCCAAGCCACGGCTTTTAGCGCACCGTGATAGCTTCAAGCGCGTCAGATTGTTTATAGTGAGGAAAATGCGCTGAGTCGTCGACCTCACTCTCCCTTCCCATCCCCACACCCCAGCCACTGTCCGAGCCGGTCAGCAGACTGGAGTGGGGAATGGGCGCGGTGGCTGTCATGGTCGATTGACCATGACTGCGCGCGCCGACGAACGACCTGGCTCCCCATACACACAAACACCAGGATTTCACACAACGGGGGTTGAACGGCGTGTCTCTCACTTGCGTGAGAGGGCCGTGGAAGGTGCTGCTTCAGCCCGTCCCCAGCCCACCAGTCCGCCACTCCACACAACACACACACAACGCGACGAACTGCGTGGACCGAGTGCGGGCGTCAGTCAACAGCCTTCCTATCCACGACGCTTGGCGTGTCGGGATAGTCTCGGACTCAAGTCACCCGTGCAGCCGAAGCCGCATGGGGACCGAGTCGAGATGCACACTTCCCACTTGCGTGGGAGGTGGCAGTTGGGTGCTTGCGATGTGTGCGTGTTGTTGTGTGGTGGTGATGGTGGAGGAAGGTAGGGAGTGCGTGGATGTGCGGTGTAACCGGCGGTTGTCTACCGCAGGTCGTCGTGGATTCGTATGTGGCCGAATAGGCCCATGCGATGCCTGAAAGTGCGAGGGCAGTGTGGGCAGTTGAGACGAGCTTGGTGGGTATAGGTTGGTGCTCCAGGCACTGGTTCGACATTCTGTGTGCGATGGATTCGCAAGTGACCGACCAGGCCGATGCGTGAGGTGAATGTGCGTGAACAGTGTGGGCAGATGAGGTCGGCGGTGTCAGTGTCAGCGACAGAGGAGGCTTTGGTGGTGGTGCGGACGGATGGAGCGAGGGTGGGGGTGTGCACGGTGGATGTGTTGGATGTGGTGGGTGTGTCGGGAGTGCGGTCAATGCCGCTCCCGTGGATGCGCATGTGGCCGAATAGGCCCATGCGATGCGTGAAAGTGCGAGGGCAGTGTGGGCAGTTGAGTCGAGCGTGGTGGGTATAGTTTGGTGTTCCAGGCACTAGTTCGCCAGGCTCTGTGCGATGGATTCGCAAGTGACCGACCAGGCCGATGCGTGAACAGTGTGCGTGAACAGGGTGTGCAGATGAAGTCGGCGGTGTCAGTGTCAACTACGGAGGAGGCGCTGATGGTGGTGGTGGTGGTGGGCGCGCAGGGCGATGGAGCGAGGGTGGGAGTGGGCGTGGTGGATGTGCTGGGTGTCGTGGGTGTGTCGGAGTTGCGGTCAATTCCGCTCTCGTGGATGCGCATGTGGCTGAATACGCCCATGCGATGCGTGAAAGTACGAGGGCAGTGTGGGCAGTGAAGGCGAGTGCGGTGGGTGTAGGTTGGTGCTCCAGGCGCTGGTTCGCCAGTCTCTGTGCGATGGATTCGCAAGTGACCGACCAGGCCGATGTGTGAGGTGAAGGTGCAATCGCAGTGAGGGCAGGTGTAGTCCTGATCCTCATCGCTGGAGTCGGGGAGGTGGTGGACCACCGCCAGCACCACCACCACCACCACCACCACCACCACCAGCACCACCACCACCACCACCACCACCACCACCACCACCACCACCACCACTTCCACCTGGCCCACAGTGCGGTGTACTGGCTAATGTCATTCATTATGACTTCCCATACCGGGACTTTAGACGCTCTTCGGATCCATGCTAGCGAGGAAAGTTCACGTAGTTTTGATATCCCTCACCCTCCCCTCCTGTAGTGTACTGCTGTAGGATCGAGTGAAGGCGACTGGAGACGAGATAATGACAGTGATACAAAACACATCCTGCGCGTTCCGCACATGTATTCTGATTAGCTGATGCCTGGCACAGCAACAGCACCAGTTTACAGGCCAGTTCCACCGTCACTGCTATGATCGCCGCAGCCGCCGCCGCCAGCGGCAAACGAGGAGCTACCACTCTAGGATGGGATAGCCGAACGCCTAACGCAAAGGGCATGCTCGTCAGGCGTCAGTCAAGACATCCAGAATATCGATCTTCCCCCGATTTACAAAGTCCTACGACATTGCATGCGCGAAGGCTGAGATAGCGTGGCGGATCAAGGGAATGGCCAGAGGTAGTCAGAACCACCCCACCAGACGAAAGTCAGTGATTCATCAGGTCGGACTACCACGCCACAGGCTGGACTGATCGCTGACATGCTGACTGACCACACCTGAAAGACACCGACGACAGCAACCGCACGCCGGTCGGGAGGGCTAAAACAGTCGAACCAGCCGACGCAGGGAAATCAATAAAGGCAGAGTGAGCCGCCCAGGAGGGCAGTTCTAAGTTCTGTTCGACCATGGTGTTGTGAGCACTCTGACAATGGACGACCTAACAGGCATTTGAAGATGTCACTCGGACCGAAATTTTGGTCCAAAAAACCCCAACCTCATTTTTGAATTCATTCTTTCTATTGTTGTCTGTGTCGCCTTTGTCATTCGTCCTTTCCCTCTCCTGCATGCAGTTCCCCAGTGTTATCTCATTATGGTAAGATGTGGTTGAGTAGCCGCACCTGATGAACACAATGCTGTTAGGGCAATTATTTCTCAACCGCCCATTCCCAACAGCTTTTCTCTTGCATACAATTACCTGACCTCGTCGCACGTGCGTTCCCAAACTCCACCAGTAAAAACGGCAATTTCCACCGGTCCCGTATTACGGGCGGCTGGAGTTTGTTTATCTTGGGTGGGAATACATAACCAAATCTGACCCTCATTATTAGCGGACCCTCCGCGACAATTTATCAGTATTTCAAGTGATATACTAAATCATTACCGACTGTCCAAGGCTAGCTTCACGAAAACACCATGTTGCATGCGCCAAAGTGGGTTCGGCTATAATCCAAAGTCTGTGATTGTGAATGACCAACATATTCAAATAAACTTGTACAGTTTTCCTACGGATGCAAGGCGGTGGCCTACGTTGATGCAGTCGAGGAGGCACCCTCATCGCAAAATTGACACAGAAGGCAAAGTGGGTCGATAAAACGACAAGCGAATCTGCGTAAACGCAGGGATCACCGCAATGGTCAGTCAGAGGGAGCGTCAGCTTTCATGCCGACATTTCAACTTCCTGGCCGCCTCAAACAGTTGCCCACCGCTGGGCCTGGGATGGCAGCGACCCCGCGTCTTCGACCGGTGGCACAGTACTGCTCACGAGAAACGGAGGCCTGGTCCCACCAGACTGTCAGAAATGAATCAGCACGATCGTCGTCTCCCAGCCCCCTGCTCTGGCAAATATCAAGAAGAGGGAGTGCAATTGCCTACCAGTCTGAAATGATAGGCATCAGCACTCCACCACTCAGCAAACTAATTAAAGTCTGCCTTTTTAATTTGATTAACCAAATACTGGAGATATGAATCATGGGAAGCCCGTGCCAGCAGGTGATGTACAGCGACCGCAACTTGAATTCAGCGGCGGTGACAACTCGGCGGCGACCCCAACAGGCAAATTGTCTCATTAGCAGTGGAGATGGACCAAACCCGCGACAAAATGGATGTCAGCGGAGCAGATGAAGAAAAGTATGGCCTGAGGCCCCGTGGCGAGCGGAGGCCAGGAAGCTGCGTGCCCACTAGCGGTAGGTACGCGCCCGACACATTCGCCAGCACCACAAACTTAGCTTGAGTTCATTAAATCACCTGTCGCAGAGCATTACGCGTGTAGATGTACAATTCGTGACAGCAGCTGCGCTGGCACCACCACCACCGCCACCACTCAGCCCGTTTTTGGATTTCTGCTGCTCACCGGCACCACCGCGCTCGATAACTGGTATTACGACTCTCGCCCTTATCCCATATCGTCTTCATCCTCTACTCTCCCTACCCTTTATTTTCTCTGAAAAGAGTGGATACTGTCAAAAGTAATTAGTCTCGTCTTTTCAAAAAGGATTGATTGGTACTATCGTGGGAATTATCTCTGCCAGTACCGTCTGTCGAGTACCTGCCCGACGGCAGTTAGGACGCATCCGCGGTTGGCTGGCCGGTACGACGGGCACCCCCACATCAGTTGCATGCCTTTTCATGAACAAATCATTGATTTAACATCATGGTAAAATTTACAAGAATGCGATGTGTGGAGAAGGGGGAAGAGCGATGACGGGGGCGAAAACGTACAGTAGTATGGCCTCCTCGTGGTAATACCACGGGAAAAATCGAATAGTACTTAACAGGATGCATAAAAGGCAACGCAAAAATGCATATACGTCAGACCCACACAAACAGTCAGGCTAGAGCCAACCACATGCTCTTATATGCATATGTATACACGAACTCCTAGGGTAAAAGGGCGGTAGGGGTGGAGGGTGGGCATCTCATCGCATTCCGGTGACCGTCTTTGTGGTTGAGTGGTGCGCCCGCAGTTCCGCGATGGCGTCGTCCACGACCGTGAGTCGCTTGCGCAGCTCGTTCAGGCGTTGTTCGGCAGCTGCTGCGTCCTCCCGATTGTGAGAGCTTTCAAACGGCGACCGACTGCGCTCCACGCGAGTACCTGCGCCGCCGGCACGAGTTCGACTGCGGCGGCTTGCGAAGGCCTCAGTCGGCGGCGAATCGGCCTCACGTCGGTAGGACCGATAGCCCAAGGCAGAGGGCGACTCGCCGCCGCCGCCGTCACCAGCGCTGCGCTTGTTGCTACTGCGGTAGCGTCGCTGATTGTCCGCAGCAGAGGGCCCTGAACGACCACGATCATCGTATGGGGGACGATGACGGTAACTGCCGGCGTAGGCATCAACTGTCTCTGGCACATCAAAGTCGGACCGGCGCTCGACTCCACGACCTTCAAGAGAAAGGAAAAACATAAATTCCCCCTTACTAGGTGTTTACGCAGATTCGAATGACTTGGCTGACTGCCCAATTGTGAAAAAGGCGGTGCTAGCAATTATTAACCATGGCCATATGCTGCCACTAGAAAAATTACGCAACGATGTGATCGGGACCACCGAAACCCTAATCTTGTCTGGTGCGATCAGCTCCTATTGAAAACGCAGCTTGACCTGAAACAGGTTTTGCTGATGAAAACAACCGAGTTACGATGAGTTATTCTTTTCGACACATGCGTCAGGATTGGGAAATTAGGAGAAAAAACGCCGTTGGCCAAAGCAACGATCGGACGTTGGCGCTTGTATTATTACTTGACAGGGTAGGCAAATTACAAGCGTTACACGTTGAACCCGAACGAGACACAATGATCAGTCATAATGCCCTCTGTTGTCCGCGGTACGCACTGTGAAGGTCAGAACAGCCTCGGACTTCCGTTTGCGCAAAATACAATGAAGCAGGTCGTCAGGCGTTTAAAGGTGCGATCATGTGAAAAGAAGTATCCTGATATCGCTCAGGAGCAATTGGAGAAACTAGTTGATACGGTGCCCACAGCAGGGAGGCAATAAACTTGGATTGTTTCGGTCGCCGAGACTTAGTTCACTACTTGTGCGTGCCTACCAATCGTTAATAGCCTCACTCAAGTAAAAGTGTTTGTGTGTGGCGATTGCGCCTCTGTACCAGGCCAGTAGTTAGAGGTTATACATGCATAGAAGCCAGCAGAAGCGCAAACATGTGCCGGCTACATGTGTCTGCAGTGACTATCAGTGGCTTACCCGTTAGCAGGATAGGGTAAAACAGTGAGGTCAGTGTTTGGAAATCGGAGCCAGACCATCTGCTACAGTTATAAGGTTAGCGACCAACTATTCGATCCTCGAAACTGTCAGATCTGACAGGGTCCTCATGCTACAGTTGACTAGAGCTATTAGGGGTAGGAACCTTCAGTTAAGTCACTAAAAAGAGTGTACCCAATGTTCCTTCAAAGTAGCCCGTAGTAATTGCTAACCGCTCCGAAGTGCTAAAAGGCCCACTGGACACAAATACAGTGGTTCAATGCTGAGCGTCAATACGCCGTCAGCAGTGATCAAGGACTGCAGTAGTCATTGTACCTCTGTATTGTGACTGCCCGTAGGAGCCACGTTCCAGATCCATATCACGTTTGTTGCTACGCTGATCATCATAGCGCGAACGAGATCCGCCATCGCCCATTCGACGGTGACCATCTCCAGCGTAGTTGTCTCTCGAATCAAAGCTACCTCGATCTGCCAAAAGGGAGAAGAGCAGGAATGAGTCAAAGGATACCAAAAAAACGGTGTCGGCTTAGGCAAAGAAGACTAATGAACCCTTCTATTCTAGTTTACCTGTGAAATAAATGTCTATTGGGTTTGCGTGGCTCATGAATTTCCCTCCTGTGTCTTGGAAAGAATTTTAGGCTTGAAATTACTTTAAATGATATAAGTATGTGGAGAAAAACGGTGTAGACAGGCACAAGGACCCGCCCTGATGGTGGATCACCATCCTCCCCAGTCATGCTACTTTCGGGGTACCGGGACAAGACGATCGCCAGGGAGGCGGAGGCTGTTTGCTAGCATGACTGCGGGACAACCGGTACACCCATGGGTATTGGATAGTGAAACGGCCTTCAGCAAGAGCTGTGTGTGAAGTAGGCGGGTATAACAATGACGTGGTCGGAGGGCCATGAAGTGGCAATATCTTCAGATGTGGTTGAGCACCGACCCTGGAAAATCGCCTACCGAGCCACGGTGGTATTTACGATATAGCGATGCTGGTCACCATACAGTA